ATCAAGACTTTGTAAAAGAGCATAATAGGACCCCTTTAAGAATCGATATTGTTTCGTAAAAATAAGAATTGATTAAAATTGAGAAATCCATTTTTTTTTTCCAGCCCTGGTAATTACTATTTTTTTCTATGTCAAACGTTTTAAAGAAAAAAAAAATTACTGAGTGCAACAGGTTTACATAACATCTCTTGTAGGCAGGTGTGTTTTTACACCCCCCACTGTCACGCCTTTTGAACAAATTGAAGCTCAGCTGTTGTAAATCTCTGTAAAACCAGACATTAGCCTACGGTAGATTTTGTTGTAAGAGGTATTGTTGCAGTATAATTGTTTGGAGGGATTTCTGTACCTTATCCAGCTGAGACACCACCTCCCACAGTAGTGAGTGTAGCACCGACAGCTCACGGCCCAGGTCAATGTAGCCCTCAAAGCCCGGGGTGTTGGAGATAGTCTCAAGATTCGAGATTTCGAGTAGAAAACGGGTCATACCAGCCCACTCGTGCTCCAGGAAGTCATTCATGAAGGCCATGTACTCCTCTTTATTTCCGAATCTGATGCAACAGAGAATATGAAATGCATAAGAAATTCAATAGTACTGTGAGTGCTCAAAGGCAGACAGACACTGCATTTACACACACAAGAATAGTCCAATATTAATACATAATATAAAATGAGAATTTTGCCATACACTGATTATGTAAGTGTCACCTGATTTCCATAACAAAACGAAGCCATTTTGACTCAAATTCCCATTTTCACATTCAAAATCTGAAACTATGTACATATTATGAATTTTATGAAGTAATCACTGTGTACTGTATGAAGAGTGTTCCTGACATACTTGGCAAAGTTAGCGAGATTCTGGATGACTTTGGCAATGAGGGTGAGTGTTCGAGAGGTACGGTCGTCTGGGTATTCCTGCATGAGACTGAAGAGCGAAGGGGACATGATGGCAGGGCACAGGAAACGCAGGAAGAGCGATGCGCTAATCAGACGCTGACTGATGTCCTGCTTCCCTCGAGCATGACACTGCTGCTTCCATGATGCAAACACCTCCTTCAGTTCCCGTGGAAAAACACTGACCAGAACACAGCAGCAGGTTAGGATGGAACTAATGCAATTGTAAGCATGAGCATATGAACAAACTACAAACAAGAGCAATGAAGTTGTATTTCTAGTTACCAGTAGAAACATTGTGAACTGCATAAACATACTGCTGTTCGAAACTTTGGGGTCGGCAATATTCTTTATGTTATTGAAAGATGTTTCTTATGCTCGCCAAGACGGTAAATATTACTACAATTTAAATACGTTTTTTAATTTATTTTTAATATATTTTAAAATTTAATTTATTCCTGTGATGGCAAAACTAAATTTTCAGCAGCCATTACAGTGTCACATGATCCTTAAGAAACCAGTATTTGTTTTTATTATCGATGTTGAAAACTTGATATTTTTGTGGAAACCATGATACATTTGTGTCAGGATAAAGCTCATAAGAACTCATAAGAATCTATCTGAAATAGAAATTTTGTACATTATTTGTTATAACTGTCTTCATAATTGTCACTTTATAAAAATGATTATAATTTTGATCAATTTAGTGCATCCTTGCTGAATAAAAGTAATGTCTTAATATCTTACTGACTAGGGCTGTGCGATATTGAAGAAAAATGTGATACCTTGTTAAAAAATGCGATATTCGATATGCGATACGATATTGCTTAAAGTGTGTAAAATATAATGCGATATTTGATAGTGGATACGGTATTGCTTAAAGTGTATAAAATCAATTTAAATTATATTTTAAAATATTTAAAAATGAAAATTATATAACCAATTTGTTTCACATTCTTTCTTGGAAAATAAGGAATCACTATAACTTCTGAAAGTGACCAGCAGTGTTTTAACATTCCTTAAATCAGAAAATGTAATTTAAACATCAATGTGAACATACAAACAAAAAAAATTATGACACTAATTTTATATCATTGTAACTTTGCTTTCCACACACTTTATGTACTACTTCATATACCACAGCAAAAACTATAGTCTGAGAAAGTTCAAACATGATTAAAGGCAAGTGAACAGTCAGTAAAAAAAAAGAAAGAAAAAGAAAAAAAAGAAATACACAATTTACAAGCATAGATAAAATAAACAGTAGTATTAAGATACAGAAATGTAATAATTAAGTGTAAAATAACACTGCATAGTGTTCACTGTATGAATTAAATTTAGATTAATCTTTGTTATAGCCGTTTTGTTGTTTTGTTAACATTAGTGACATATTCAGCAGCACGTATTTATAAGCTGCTGTCCCTTTAAATTCCGACTGCAAGGATCCAGTATAATGATACACATCCGATTTCTTTCTCA